TTAACATGACCTATGGCGCCGACGGGAAATCCGTTGTCTGCTTCGACTAGGCAGATCCTTTGATGGTGATGTTGCAGGATTTGACATGTGGAAGATGAAGAAAGGAAGATTAGAGAGGTAGAAACTTCATTCATAATCATGGCCGCCGCTTCGAGTTTCCAGTCGGATGTTTAGAGTTTTGGTGAAGACGGTGGTGGTTTACACATGGGTCTCAAGATGCATCACAATTGTGAACACCAACGATCGTAATTGTGGTGCACGTGCAATTTTCTAGATCGTTGGTTGGTTGGTGATGATAATTAAGGAAAACATTATCAAAAAGACTCATACAAGTTTGTTAATCAGTTTCTAGAAGAAACCAATAAGGTTTTTAGCATAAGAAAAAAGTAACCAATCAAAAAACTATTAAAATCATACAGATGATGCATTCGTAATGTAAATAAGATGTTATTACATGAATTCAAGCCGACCAGAAAGATTATTCAGTAAGATGTTGTTTTTGATAAAACAAAGGAAAATCATTAAACAATTTCAAACATATAAAAAGATTAGGCAGCAGTGAAACGTTACAATGGGAGTAGAACAAACACATGTGACGCAAAAAATTCCGAAAGGAAACATACCGAGAGAGAACAAAGGGGAAAAAGAAAGATCAAAGACGAATATCGAAACTATGAAATGGATAAACAATGATCCAATAATATCGAGATTTTTCAAAATCGCGTCTCCAGATATGAGATGAGAGGGACTGCTGGCATCGAATGAAGATGAGTTATTTGGAGGTTTTCCTGTACCAGTCGGAAGTACTACAGAGAGTACTACAAGAAGTGTAGAACCAAGTTGAGTTGTACGTTTGCTGAAGAGGAGCTTGAGTATTGACGTGGGTTAAGCTAGAAAAAGGAAGAATATATTTGTTTAGGGAAAAGGAAAAGAGATTTGAAGAATATATTCAAGAGAAGAATAAGGAGAGGATAAGGCCAAAAGGAAATTTTTCATTATCGATAAAAGGTAAGTTGTTTATGGTTAAAGAGGTGCTCTCTATATGTATATATAGAGAGAGGCAAGGTGGCTGGAGTTTTTTACGCTGTTTGATTTGTAAATACAGAGAGTTTGATTTGAGAGAAGAAG